TTCTATTCATTTGTCTCCCATGTGATTTCTTTCTTTTTGTCTTTCAGGTTTGGTGCCTGCACTGGTGTTTTCTGCCCTGTCCGCTGGAACAGGTTCACCTGGGAAAGGTTCTTGCTCCTTTGAAATGGGTGTGTGACTGTCTCCGGGGTTGCATTCCTGCCGCAGTGTGTAACTCTCTCAACTTTGTTTTCCTTTTCGGGCAAGCGTTGGATGAATGACCGGATTGGATTTCGGCGGCGTGGCAGCGATCTCTCTGTTCAGTTGGGACGGAGGGCATACGTCAGGCACCAAAAATCAATGTCATATCACATCCTTCGTTCCTCATGCTTTTGTTTCTTGTCCTCACGTGGTCAGCTCCCCGCTGATTGAGCAGCATGACCAACATCATGTTCGCATTTGAAGAATAATTCCCCAAAAGGTTTAGGGCTTCTCAATTCTTTTCTTAAGATATGTCCGCCTGCTCTGTACGGCTGTGTCCGTCTCTGCCTTGCAACCCTTTACATTTGTCTCCCAGCTCTGGGCTGCTATGGCCGCCTCTGCCTTGCGCAATCCTTTGTCCAAGCTCTAGTTTCGATGTTGAAAAACACAAATTGTTTGGGGTCTACGGTGATATAATGTGTTTGTAGTTGTATATTTGTGGTTGTGGTAGTGGTTATGATTGTGTGTTTGTAGTTGTGGTTGTGGTTGTGTCTTTGTCATTGTGTGTTTGTAGTTGTGGTTGTGGTTGTGTCTTTGTAATTGTTTATTGTAGTTGTGTTTGCGGTTGTGAGTTTGTGGATGTGTTTGTGGTTGTATTTGTGGTAGTAGTAGTGGTTGTGATTATGTGTTTGTTTATAGTTGTGGTTGTGGTTGTGTCTTTGCGATTATGTGTTTGTAGTTGTGGTTGTGGTTGTGTCTTTGTCATTATGTGTTTGTATTTGTGGTTGTGGTTATGTGTTTGTGGTTGTGTTTGTAGATGTATGTGTGGTTGTGTTTGTGGTTGTGTGTTTGTGGTTGTGTGTTTGTGTGTTTGTGGTTAGGTGTTTGTGATTGTGTTTTTGTAGTTGTGTTTGTAGTTATATATTTGTGATTGTGTTTGTAGTTGCGTATTTGTGATTGTATTTGTGATTGTGTTTATAATTGTCTTTGTGATTGTGTGTTTGTGGTTGTATGGTTGTGGTTAGGTGTTTGTAGTTTTGTGTTTGTGGTTATGTATTTGTGATTGTGTCTTTGTAGTTGTGTTTGTAGTTGTGTATTTATAATTGTGTTTGTGATTATGGGTTTGTGGTGGTTACGCGTTTATGGTGGTTACGCGTTTGTGATCGTGTATTTGAAATTATGGGTTTGTGCATTGTATCTAGCAAATTTTCTAGTTAAAATCCAATAGTGTACATTGCGATCGAATCCTTACGATTAAGGTCCAAGAATGCAGACTACGAGCCGAGCTAACCAAATAAAATCGGCGAAGCAGATTGGCGAAGAAAGAAAAAAGAAGAAAAAGAGGCGAAAGTAAAGGCGAAAACGGAGGCGAAAGCGAAAGCGGAGGCGGAGGAAAAACAGTTTTAATAAAATTTAATAATCCTTACCTAGTAGGGAAAAATATATCCATTCTAAAGAATTACATTTAACTTAATTTAAAAAGAATAATTCTATTATATTTCTTATATATATTTTATAGAAATATAATATTCACAAATAAATAATTCTAATATATTAATAATTATTAATTTATCATAATTTTTAATTATTTCTTCCCCCAAATCAATCCAGACCAATAATTAAATAATCTACCCCAACTACACAACGACAACGATTTTCCTAATCTTTAATTCCACATAAATCGGGACGATCAACCACCTCCGAAAAGGGTGCTATTAAGAAATCCCCCCCTCCCAATCCCCGTCCATGCAAACAACAACAACAACCACAACCACAATCACAACCACAACGACAACGACAACGACAACGATAACAACGACACCAACGACACCAACGACACCAACGACAACGACCACGACGAACACCAACAACAACAACCACGACGAACACCAACAACAACAACCACGACGAACAACAACAACAACAACACACAACCTCTGATGGTTGGGGCCTGCTGGCCCGCTGGTGGGCGTCAGCCCCATGAATATAGATATGTAAATACATATATATATATATTAATTTGATATATTTGTCCTTATAGCGTGCCAAAAACTTCAGTTTCACGCCCTGGGCGAACTACTTTTTGTTTCCCAACAATCTCAATAAATCAATTGTCTGCAATATTCCATTAATTACGAATCAATTTCTTGTAAATCAATACGATCTTAACAAGTCTATGCAACAGCAGGGTTGGGAAACTATGGAACGGGTTTTGGCGGTCTTGTGCCACATGCTAATTTGCCTTGTAATCGGCGAATTCACAGTCCGCGAATGCCACATGCTACGACAGGCTGTCGCACATTCCAATCCAACTTCCAATGGCAGCTCTGGCTGTGATTCAGCATCTCAAGAGATCAGTGCATCATTTGGATCAATTACAGTATATGAATGCAATGAATTCACCAGCGTTCTTGGAAAACTGTCCAGTAGGATCAAAACTCTCAGAATACTCAATACTCTCTCAGAAAAAATCCGAATGGTGCAGAGCGCAAAGATCTGCCATTGTTACCTGTCCTTGGATACCATACAAGTGAGAGACCATCGCAAGCCTTTGTGCGAACTTTCGGCATTCTGTGATTCTGTGTGGTGATGGGAGCATGGTCAACAGTTCTGTTTTGCTCCACACCTGCGGGCAGCTTGCAACTGTGTCAAGAAAACCTCCGCTGCAACAAGAAACGTTGCAATCATATGACCAGTAGTAAGTTGGATAGCTTGGTGGCCCTATGACACCTGGATGTACACCATACATAGTGCCGAGAACGCTATGGCACTCCGAAGATGCCGATCTGATTTGGCGTGGATCTGAATGAGTGCGACTGGATTGTCCTGCGAAATCACTTTTGCTTGTTCTTGTTGGGATCCTAACTGTAAGAATGTGCTTGACATGATGCTTTCTTGGGAAAGCACCAGTTAAAAGACTTTTTGGGTGCCTTTACTGCAACAGAGGGACTGGTGGTCACGCCCGCCGGAAACGCTTGCCAAAAATGGCACGGGCGTGAGTCTTTGTAAAACATGTTACGGCAAAAGTAAATGGTGCCCAGGATTGGAAGATGAGAGCAGCACTTCAACCGGATCAGAGGCCTTAGTGCCCTCTTCGTGGCCCCAAGGGCACCAACCAGGGTGCAGTCATACCCTCAGGCAGGCAATTGAATTTCACTTCGATGGCTGACTAGCTTACTATCCGATTGTGTACACTGATGTCACTGACACTGACCAACAGACCAAATAGCATTTCTGGGTGCCCAACTTTCCTTCTGCCTAGGCTTGCCCGGGTAGGCCCGGCAACGCCTGCAATAGAACGAAAATGCAACATCATCAGTAATTACAATTCCAATTTTTTATTTTTTTTTAAACTACTAGTAAGGCACTTGTTTCTAATAGCTTCTAGTTACTACTAGTAAGGCACGTGTTATTACTAGTAGCGATGCACTTGTTACTAGTAGCGATGCACTTAATGTCTTTCCCCAACCTGCTTCGCTTCAAAAGTGTTTGCCATGGCATAGATACCTGAGAGCCGGCGGCTTCAAGGTTCTGTCATAACCCTGATGCCAGGTTCACGAATGGACAGGGCTGGGAAACGGCCACCAAACAGGTTTAAGGACAGATTTCCGCACGCATTCCCATGCATCTGGCGATCCCAAAATCTCATCAAATCATTCAAACCCCAATCCAGCATCAGAATGACATACATATTGAACATGTAATGCCTGCACTAGTTGGAGGTACAACACACCATACAAGCTGTACATGAGTCTCCGCAACCTGTGCAACCAACGAATACGTTGGCGCTCCCCGTACACCCCTCGATACACTTATTGAAGCGCTTATCGAAGTGGGGTTGGGCGTTGGAGCCTGTCTGCCTGTCCGTCTGTCTTTCTTTCTTTCGTTATTATTTCCTTCCTTCTCTATTTTCCTTTCTCTCTGTATTTCTGTCTTTATTTCATTATTGTATTTCTTTCTTTCGTTCTGTCTTTCGTGCTTTCTTTCATTCTTTCTTTCTGCGTTTTGCATCAATAACTTTCCATTTGTGTTGGCAGCGTGTCTTGAGTTCTACTTCTTGTGCATGTCCGGATAGTCAACATGGGATTGTGATAAGCTGTCAATACTGTTGGCGGCGTGAAAAGTTCTGACTGCTGGTGCCGAAGTGCTGGGTTCTTACTTTTGGCAAAAATTGTACGTATTGATCGTATTGACGGCGGTGATTTGGTGTGACTTCTCTGCCCTGGTGGAGTGGCAGGTGAATTCTTTGCTACTGCTGGTGAATTACTGTAACAGTGTCTTACCGGTGAAGATTTGTAGGCTCTTGCCACGTTTCCGCTACTCATGGAGCTGTGGGAAGAGTTTCCAGTGCATAAAGTGACAGGTTCAAGGGTTCAACCCTAGCAAATTGGTACGCTCTGGGCGATGTAGTAATTATATTGGTTGGGTTGAGATTGTATGGGTCAAGGGGGTAGGGCATCAGCAGCCCTTCAGAAGCCATCTTCATGAAACGACGACACGAGATTCTTCAGAGGTTGATAGCTATAGGCTTTAGGCAAGCGAAGCCTGCAATGTTGCTTGCTTTGGGTTTGTTGCGTGGTTTCTCTTCACGTGTTGGACATCACACGAGGAAGTTGGCTTCACTCGCTCACTCACTCCCTCACTCACTCACTCACTCAGTCAGTCACTCACTCACTCAATCAATCAATCAATCAATCAATCTGTCTCTCTCTCTCTCTCTCTGCTGTATCTCTATCTCACCGCTTTTGTGCATTGAGCGTAGTATGTCTAAACTGGACAGGCTATTTTAGTCAAGTTGCGCTTGACGTGATCCGAAAACGTCTCTGGGTTGCCCAGACGGACGTAGATTGACCTCAGAAGCTGATGGGGCACTTGACAGCATGCAAAGCTTCCGGAAGTCTAAATGTTTATTCAGTCGTCTTTTGGTGGTCGGATGCATTGGCAACAAAATTCACAGCTGTGGCCAAGGACTTTCCATCATTCTCAGTGTCCAGGACAAAGGTTTTATTGAGAGGCTCTTCGTTGAAGAGCTCGATAAGCTTGGTACACTGCAAAGAGCACTGTAATCACAAGCAGACTCTCAACACAGATGATTCAGAGTTTCAGCGGATCTACATCTTGTGTATGTGTGTGTTGTAGACCTAAATGCACATGTTTTCTGCCGTCTTCTTCAAAACATGTGGACATCAGGCGCGCCTGAAAAGCCATCTCAGAGAGTTTCCTTTGGAACTCGTGTTTGATCATTTGCTTCATCCTCGGTGCTATCACAAAGATCTAGCACCCATGGATCAATGAAGTAGTCACTCCAATCAACCAAATCATGCTGAAGATCATGTGTACATTTCTTTAGCAGCCAGCAATCTTACAAGTTGAACCCTTGGGCAACCTTATTGAGCACATAATATGTATACACATATTAGTAACTGCATGCATATATAATAATTGTATAATATGTGTGTGTACAGTATGTCCAGGTGTACAGTATGTCCAGGATCCAGACCGACAAAGCCTGATGCCCGACGGGTGGTGCAGCAGCATACCTTCAGGAAACCCAAAAATACTTGACTCCCAGCAGCCAAGTTCAGGATACTTTAAAATGTGTCAAGATGCTAAGGAATCTTGCACATGTTCTTTGCATGCAAACGTGCAGCTAAGCAGCGGAAAAGGGCCAACATCAAATCATCCATGTCTTTTATCTCTTCACCCTGTGGGTCAGGCCAAAAATTGTTCCCTGCAATGTTGCATGCAAACATCTAGCTGGTGCTTGTGCAACCCACCTCTGTGTTATCTGCTCCTCAGAATTAAAACATCAGAAAGGCCCGGATTCAAGATCAGGTTACGAATCCAGGAGCTAACGGCTCATAAAAACCCACAGAACCCATCACATCTCCTTTGAACTACATGTGTGCACTCTCTATATCTTCTCAGCGGAGTTCCATCAGGGGACAGTTGGCAGAGCACTGTCTGGATTGGCCTCAGCATCCATCTGAGTGGCAAACACGAGGACTTCCTGTGTGTCCCTAGTGTCAAATGTATTCTGGGTGCTTTGGGTTCGCTCTGTGAACTTATTTTCCTTGCCAGGAAAATAATCGGTTTTGGCTTGACCCCTGTGAGTTCTGCGGGGCTTTGACGGTCACTCAAATGTTCCCCAAGCAGTGTTTTCACACTTGGGGTTCTTGCGGTATATAGTTGTTAAGGACCCGGACGGGTGTCTGATCGCCCCACCATCACCCCCACCATCACCACCACCACCACCATCCTCACCACCATCGCCACCACCACCATCACCACCAGCACCACCTTCATCGCCACCACCATCACCACCACCACCACGATCACCACCATCACGTCTTTTTGGAGCCCAATGCGTCTAGATCTCTAGACCTTCTGCTTCTACATCTCTGGACCTGAGACCTTTACACATACTGTGTGGGGTTTCTTGCCGGGATAGTAATTAAAGGCAACCACTGACCGACCAAAGTACATGTACAAATTTTTTGTCAAATGTGTTGTCTCGTGCAACAAGATGAGTCTGAACAACGAAACCAACAGGGCATGAAGCCGATGACAATTAGTAAAAGGGCGATGCTACAGCTTCCCTGAGGGCTGCACTTCAACATTTTGCGATGGTACACAATTAGCCTGTCAAACTTGTGACTGAGAAGCTTAACATACTGGGAAGTGCGAGCACAAAACTCTCTGAGCAAGAAAATGCCAGGGCATGAGCCGTCGGTGCTGGATAGCAAGCTGGACAATGTGACCTGACAAATATATCCAACACAACTGAGGCCTAGCTAAAGTGTAAAAAAGATTGACTATGTTCTTTTACTGCTGCTCGTCAAGTAGAAATCTGTCAGAGCTGAGGTCAAGGCAGACCTCACCGAGCCTCACAAAAGCAAAGGCAGGTCAGTCTTAAAGAAAATTGACAAACAAAGTGATCTCTTGACTGTCTAGACTCTCGGAGCCAAGGAGCGAATAGTTGGCCAGGAATGGGAGATGGCGCCTTGGAGCCACAAGCAGGGTAATTGTTTCAAGATCCTGATGCTCATTGAAAAGATTTTTTGCGGATTTGTCAAGCCAGCTATTCAGACCTCTCATCTTCCACAGACATGGTTTTACACCAGGACGCCGGTTCTTAAAGCGAAATGGCTGCCTCACACCCGCCGAGTGCCCAACTGCATAAGTTCCCTGGCCATGCCATAACGACCTGCGCACTTTGCACGGAGCAAGGCCTATAAACATTACATTGCATTTAGTTTTTCCCGAGAGCATCTGCGAAGGGTTCTTCGTAAAAAACGTCTGCACAACTACGTCTCATCTACATCTTCATTCTCACCTATGTCTCTGCACATCTTCACATCCTCACATCGACATGTCTGCTCATCTTTATCTTCACACATCTACATCTCTGCTCATGTTCACATCTGCACATCTACATCTCTGCTCATCTTCACATCCTCACATCTACATCTCACATCTTTACCTCTCATCTACATCTCACATCTTCACCTCTCGCTCTTCTTAACTTTCTCTCTTAAGGCCGGGGGCAGCCTTACGCCGGACCGCCACGAAACGCAGCCCTCTGCGGAGATCGTGCGTGTCGGACGAGCGAAATGCAGGCGAGAGTGCGATTTGTCCCGGTCCGCCGCAACCCTCTGCGGAGATCGTGCGTGTCGGATGTGCGAAATGCAGGCGAGAGTGCGATTTGACCCGGTCCGGCCCGGCGCAACCCTCTGCGGAGATCGTGCGCGTCGAGTGTGCGATTTGACCCGGTCCGGCGCAACCCTCTGCGGAGATCGTGCGTGTCGAGTGCGCGAAATGCAGGCGAGAGTGCGATTTGACCCGGTCCGGCGCAACCCTCTGCGGAGATCGTGCGTGTCGAGTGCGCAAAATGCAGGCGAGAGTGCGATTGGGGAGCTGGAAGATGAGAACTGGCGACTTTCTAGTGCAACTTTAGTGTGCGGAGTATCTGGGGAGCTGGAAGATGAGAACTGGCGACTGTCTAGTACAACTCTAGTACGCGGAGCAATCTGTGGAGCTGGAAGCTGAGAACTGGCGACT